ACACATGATCTAGGATACCATAAGGAAGTTCGTCTCCCTCCTATTCCATTTGATCAGCTCGTTGGCAATTTAGAACTGCAAAGTCAGGCTTAAAATTAGTAACACTCTTGATTATGTAGTTAAGGCAGCAGGAAACTTTTGAGACGGATGTGTTGCAAAATAAAACTACTGGTTTGATAGGAATGTTGACCTTGAAGAGTTTGGGGAGTCCGTATAATCTGGGCATGGTTGGGTTGTTCAAGAATAATCTATATTTATAGTTTGCATTAGAATACTTGATGATCGTTTCCTCACACATCTTTGCATTAATCTTGACCGCACTGATCATTGTGCTTTATTAAGGACAATGAAATCGTTTTCTTTCACCAATGATTCTACTTTTTGTTGATACGAATGGGATTCCATAATGAGTAAGCAATATCCTTTGTCTGCTCACTGATAATTGAGTCTTTGATATTTTTCTTTAAGCCTTTTAGAATCTCAAAGGTCACCCGTCAAGCATTCGTTTGGATCTATTGTTGGAATTTTTGAATTCTCGCAAAATTATGTAGAGGCATTGGTTATGAATGTCATTCTCTAAGTCAACATTCGCGTATAGATTTTAATATCTACGTCCACATTAACCGAATTGAAAATTCTTCCAAATTATCCTTAGTAAGGGAAGGTGGTTTGTCAGCTAATAATGAATTTAGCTTTTTGTCTAGTTTTGGGAACTTCAACTTCCTGTTCATCTCCACTTCATCCTCAACTTCTTTCCTAAAATTCTGTAGCTCCATCCATGTGAGTAGTCTCACAAGTTGATCGTAAATTATTTTTAGCTGCATGTTCAGGTTATCCATCTTTTTGTAGTGTTTGGACAACTCCTTCGGGAGCAGTACTGTTTGCATCTTATCTTTTTCTTGGGCGGATATGTCATTGCAAATGACACATACAAAACCTTCTCTGTGAGAGAGTGAGAATCAAAGAACAACTAAATAAACCTTCATCCTCCTCTTTTGGCTTTCATTTAAAATTTAATAACCATAGTTTCTCTCCCGGTAATTTAAAGATAATTCCTATAACTTCTCTTCCAGGGGCCTGAAATTCAGCCTTTATGAGGATCTGGAAATTTCCACAAATTCTCAATATTCTAACCATCTCAACACAACTATGAGTTCCAACCTATTTTTAAGCACGGCCTTAAAATTATTATACTTTCATTAGGCAAAATATATTGAACGTGCCCGTATACATTGGATGCGAATCCATGTGTAAACAATGCATATTATTGGTTGTTTAATACAGTCATACAGTCAACGTTGACTCCAGGAATATCTTATTGGTTAGATTTTTTAGCGGCGTCTTTGGCGGCATATTTCTTAGAAGGGGCTGCCGCACAGGAATCAGTTTCGTCTGGAAAGACAGTGCAGTAGATATTCTCTATAAATTTGATTCTATTTGAGTTGTATTGTGCCTTATGTTTTATTTTATATAAAACTATTTTAATAAATTTCTCTTACTCCGCCCGTGCTTCATAAAAAAAAACGCCGACGGCCAAAGGAATTTTATTTTTTTACTGTCTCATTTGACTATCGATAGACTATAGTAGGCGCGATTTTCTGATTTCTGATAATAATATCAATTTGAAATTAGATGCAATTAAACAAGGAGTGGGTCACATATTATATTTTTGTTGTTTTGCTTGTGAGATAATTATTGGAGTGTTTGAAATTTTGTAGTTGTTATTGAGTGAATTTTAGTGTGTTTCAATATCTTTTATACCAATTCTCCCCCATCGTAATGTATTTTACTTATAAAAAATACACAGAATAAACTTTATTTTATTTAATTAAGACTAAGATCCCCTTTTTGGTATTACTTAAAGTGTCAGTGTCGATGATAACCCAGTATGGTCGAAAGCGCTTGACGTGAATAAATATTTTATACCACCTTTCATTTCTCTATTGTGACTATTGTCGAAAACTTCTAGATGAATGTCTCGAGTCTTCTCCAGGTTTCTCGTAAAATTGCTAACATAGAAGAGAAGATGGAGGAAATGAGAAAAATGGAAAAAGAAACGGCCAATTTGCGTCTGCTTACAATCTTAAGTTTTTATAATCTTTTTGTCGAAGAACAATATGTAAGTATAATGAGCAAAAACAGGATTTTGGGAGCAGAGTACTGCCTTCAAACCCCCTAGCACAAAAACCCCGAGGAGATTAAGAAGCCAAAAACGCCCTCCTCTCCGAAGATTACACCTATGGTCTCTGATGTGGAAATGAAGGCGAAAGCCCAAAAATATAGACTAAAAACTCCAGAGAGGATAAGCAGGAATCGCCGACTCAGATATTCAATCTTTGTCAAAACTGAACAATACTTAAGTCTCCCGAATGCTACAACCATCCAAGGTAGGGACTGGATAACTATAACGAAGTAAATTGGAGACAAAAGGGTGAACTATACGATTTCGGCAGAGAGTTAGGTGAGAGTACTTAAATCTATCCTAAGATGCCAGATGACTAAATGTCAACACGTCATGCGAGCTGATTGAAGACCTGGAACTTAGTTCTACATATGCCAAAATCAGTCAGTCAACTAACAAAGTGAAAACCAACAGATGCCGTTCTTTCTTGATGTGCTCCGATATCAGGAACTTGAAAACACTCTCCCAGCTGGTCAGAGGACATCAAGAGGGCTACACCTGAAACCAAAACTAAAATGCAGTCCCTAGAGCCATCTACGAACCGACCCGCCAAAATGTGGCAAATGCACCAGCCAACCTGATCCAATAGAAGATAAAGAAGATACCGACGTAGAGCATTCACTGAAGATAATCTTGTTGTCGAGTGACACTGAGCTCGGAAAATTGATGCTGAAGAAGGATCAGAAGATCGCAAATCGGACCGACATGAGAACCGTTCTAGAACGGTAATTTCCAGTTGCTTATCTATTTTTCAATAAGTCGAGCGTTCATCCTAATTGACAAATGAATTGATCGACTGGAAATTACCGTTCTAGAACGGTTCTCATTTCGGTTGGAACAGAGCTATGGCCTTGTAGCAAACTATGTTGATCTAGCTAATGGAGAAGTCGCAATGCTAGTCAAAAGAGGATTAGAAAACTATTTTCCGGAAATCAATGAGTAAGTTGAAACATAGCAGCTGAAATCAAGACAGCCATGGGTAAGGTGAAAGTTTACTTACCTGCCAAAGATTGAACATTTGGAATTACAAGATCTGTTAGCAGAAACAACTCCGACCATCATTTAGGATCTCAACAGCAAATTTTCAGCCTAGAGGCTCCAACATTCGGAATGAGAACAAAGATAGGCAATGGAAACACACAGAAGCAAGAAAAGTCATCATCATCGCATCGGACCGGATTCGCCAACCATATTGGACAAAGCTGTTATTTGAAATGTGACACAAGACTTCCTACACCCAAAAGCTACTGACTAGATGGTACAGCTTTAGAAGTAGCTTAGAGACAAGATTGTCATACCCAGGTGATTTACAATGGTGGACAGTTAGAGCATCGTGACATTGGTTCAACTAATTTGACTTTATTGCTGAACTCAAAAACAATAAGCTCACATGCACTAGAATATTATGAAAGAATAATTTCTGCCTCACAAGAAAAAAAAGTATGCATCTAAGAAATACAAATCTGCAAAGTAAGATTCAACTGAGAAAAAGCCACACGCGTCATCGACTACTCTGCCTCACTTTACAGTCACGTTGCTGATCCGTTTAGCCCCTGTATCTCTATAATAAGAATACCAATCGTAAAAACGCCACCGATGCATAAATGGGATACCTTGGTTGATTGTATTTCCACCTTACCTACTGATTGCTACATTAGTGAACCCGGATTTCGAACCCACGATTCGATAGCATCGTCTATCGTCACTTGTGCAAAAGTAAGTATAGTCTTTGTAAATTCAATTGAAACAAGGTAAAAATAAATTGCAACTGGTAGCTGACTAGTAGCAGTGCATTTCTTATGAAAGTATTCAATCACCAGTTGTAATTTACCTTTACCTTGCTTCAACTGACTTTAAAAAAAGTATACCTGATACTATCGATTCGTGGGTTCCAGTTAGCTAGATTAAACGATAAACGAGTGATAATAGATTTTTTTTATTTCCAGGAAATATGGGGTTAATACATCGATTCGAAAATGTGTGACTGGTACTTTACGAAGAACTCATGGCCTTTTGTTCTTTCTAGTTCTTGGAGGATAACGGGGCACCTTATTTGAAAAACTTACCATTATTCTTTGTAATATAACATATGATGGGGTGCCAGAATGACCCCAGCATTCCGCTCGAAATTCATCATATTTTCAATCTTATAGAGGAGAGGTGTTCATAGAACTAAATATGAAGAAACCTTTGAAGTGAGGAAAACCTAAGAAAACTAAACTCTCGTGTGTTCGCTGCCAATAATTCATCTGCCTTCAGTGTGCATAGAAATTCTGTAAAAATAACTAGATGTCATTGCAAATCATATATTAGAAGATTCAAAAACTAGGGACCCATTTGGGGGTTGAAAATTATGGGGCCATTTATGATCAATTTATGACCAAAAAGTGATACAATATTTCTACATTGTTTTCAATTTCATCAAGGTATGGTATTTTGAAAAAGTTTTCTGAAGAGGATGACAAATTTTTCATTGAAACGCCCCAACGTATAGATCATCTACTACTAAATTAGAATAATATACCTGAAATATTATTTGAAATAGTTTGTAATATTATTTAAAACTCTCTCGAAACACAAGCATGTCATTTTTGCATTATAATTATCAGCAATCAAATAAATTACCATAAGCATTCCACATTCGAAATAGGCCGAAGTCGAACAAGAATAATTTAAGCAGGCCATTAAAATTCATTTACGTTTTTATTATAATATCACAAAGGACAACCGAACAAATTAAGATCGGTCATCGAAAAATATCCATCTTAAAAGATTCACTACTGACTGAGAGAAAAAGGAATTTTATCCAGATGCATACCTTTCGAATTCTGTCAGTCTAGATGAATCTCTGAAACCTTTGGCAAATGGGTTGCTGTCAATCTTCAGTTTTGTTATCTGAAACAAAATTATAAAGTCAAATAACATAATTTATAAAGTGCCCCACGATGGGATGCTGAAATATTGAACCCATCATGGGGTTTTGAATAAGTTTAAGTAGAGGTATTCGTATAGGAGGCTCAGCTTTTAATTTTCTATTGTTTTATAAATTACAATATATAAGGAGAGTTTTATGTCCTAATTTTAATTATCCTATTTATTATTTAATAATAAATAATTTTACCAGTGGCCATCAATGTTTTTAATTTTCAACTGATAAACATAACCTAATTAAGAATTACATTAACTCGATCATTATTAAGATAAACCGTAATTAATACATTACTTTCTTTGAAACGGAAACATAAAGATGAAAAGGAAAATATTTAATTTTATATTATTAATTATGAAAATAACATATCGGCAGTTAATAAAGTTGGCTCGAAAAAATAAGATTTAAGATATCTCATTTCCTCTTTTATTTAGGAGGCTATGGTTAGTACAGTCTACCATCTGCAAAAATTCAAGATAACATTTTGAGAATCCGATAAGTAGTTATGCTTTTTTTAAGTGGTTGCTGTTATACCAAGCAATTAACTCAAAATATTACTGCCCTTGTGGAACAATTAATAATTTCTTAGGAACAAAAAGTGTATTGGAATATTAATGTTAATAATTATTATAAATAAGGATACTATCATTTTATAACATGAGCCTCTATTTGCTTAAATACCTTATTACTTGTGTAACCAATGCACGATAGCTTACTGTCAAGATCTTTTGTACTGAATTGTTCAATGACTCAAGAAAATTCGCCTCCAATGAATTTAAGGACAGTATCTAAGTAAACATGTCCTCTCAACCATGATAGATGAACAACTTTTATTATCCAAAAGTCTCAAGGAAACTGCCACATTACACATAGTATAGCCGCGAGGGAATTGATAGGTAGATATTGAACCAAATCCAGCAGAAGATAGCAAGAATAATCTTGAGAGAACTTCAAACTCTAAGTTAGATGAAACACTCAAAATAAAAACTACTGCTTGTCACCTATAGGCAGAGGTAGAGACCCAATAACCGGATCATCTACAATTTCCGAGATTCTCTATGGATAACTAAAAATCAATTAAGCTATAAAGAGTCACTGAGACCAATCACAAGATAGATTTCATACCGAATCATAGGTTTTCATACCTATGTGACTATTGTCGGAAACTTCGAGATTAATATTCTGAGCCGTACTCTGGTAAGTCATTGAAAAATTACCAAGATGGAAGAGAAGCCAGAAGTGCCCTTCTCTTCGGAGATTACACCTATGGTTTCTGATGTGGAAATAGAGGCGGAAGCTTAAGGAGATAGACTAAGAACTCCAGAGAGGATGAGCAGGAATTTTCGACTTAGATATTTCGTTTTTCTCAAAACTGGACAATAAGTCTACCGAACATCCAACAGGGACTGGATAACTGAAACAGAGAGACTTGGAGAGAAAAGGATGAACAACGATCACGCCAGAGTTGGATGAGAGCACTTAAATCTACCCTAAAATGCCAAATGACTACAGGTTCCTCATTTGGAGATCCTCTACCTTCTAGTCAACATGTCATGCAAGCTGATTGACTGAAATATTCCCTATGGATAACCGAAAATCAATTGAGCTGAAGGGTCACTAAGACCAATAACAAGCTAGATTTCATACCGAATCATAGGTTTTCATACCTATCATTAAACTACAGCAAAAAGACTTCACATGAAAACCCAGTCGGGAGAAATTTGGCAAAAATAATAACATTTACAAATTGGAAACAAGTAATATGGTTCAGACACTCACAGCGATTGCCAAAGAAAATACTGCGTGAACAAATATTCAAGGAAGAGGATAGGTCATTGACAGGTCCAGCACTGGCCAGCCCTTTGACATTCTGGATAGAACAATACAATGATTTGGATGGTTTAGTGAAAAATACATAATCAGCTCCATGCTAATACAGAGGAGATATCTGGCAAACGTTTCATTTGTCTGAATAGAGTCCACGTCCGGTACTAATATATGCCTTGTTCAATGCGACAAGCTTACGAGATTTGACATACATCTTCTTCTTCTTAACGTGCCCATCCGTTATCGGATTTTTGCGATCAGCACGGCGATTTTAACTTTGCTAGCTGCGGAGCGAAATAGACCGGTTGTCGCTGTGTCAGACGAAGTTCTTAGCTTTTTAAGCCAGGAGATCCGCCTTCTCCCTTGCCCTCTTCGAACACTTTGCCATATAGTATTAATAATTGGGGCATGTTACATCTCTATTTATCCCACATTATGTGCCCCAGATATTGCTTTCTGATCTATTGTTTTCAGGATCTCAGTTTCTTCACGAAATCTTTCAGGGACCTTTTTGATGGTGAGACGGTCTTTCAAGCATAACCTCACAAAATACGCCGATTTAGCCACATTTCAAAGACGGCCAGTGGTGTTAGCCAAGATCCAGGATTCCTCCCCGTAGGTACGCAAAACCGGGAGCACATGGCATCGAAGTAATCTAATCTTCATTTTCAGATTTGAATGATAGGTTTTCAAAATTTTGGCCAGTTGGATAAATACTGCTCTAGCCTTCTCTATACGGCATTTAATTTTTTGGGAGTGGTCCTATTGGTCATTAATATTGGTGCCAAGGTAGTTATACTTCCCAACTTTCTCTAAATTTTGATTATTTACTACTAAGGGTGCTTGGTTCTTACCAATAACCATGTACCTATTTGTTTTTTTCTTTATGTATTTAGATCAAGTCCATACTGCTCACTGATGTCTGTGTATCTGTTCATTAACTGTTGTAATCCCTCAAGACTGTCTGAAAAAATTACCTTATCATCGGCATATCTGATGTTATTGAACAGTTCTTCATATGCCTGCTTCCTCTTTGTCCATGGCTTTGTTGAATATTTATTCCGAATACAGATTGAACAGCAATGGTGCCAATACGCATCCCTGGCCTCACTCCTTTCAAGATTTTTAGCTCGTCTGATTCCACATCCTGGCCCCGAACTCTTGCAGTTTGATTCCAGTGAAGATTGGTAATACTTATCTATTCGTGGTCATCTAGCCCTATCCTCTGCAGTATTTGAATAAGCTTGCTATGCTGTACTGTATCAGAAGCTTTCTGATAGTTGATAAAATAAGCGTAGGTATATATCACAGTTGACATCTCTGCACCACTAAAATAAGACCTACAAGCTAAATAGAGCCTGTCTGGTTCATACTGCATCTCTGAACCCAAACTTAGTTCGGCCAATATGGTTTTCAGCGATCTTTTAGATATGTTGAAGTATTATTTTTAAGAATACCTTCAGGAGATGGCTCGTCAGACTGACAGTGCAATATTTGGACCAAACTTTTATGGTATTGTAATAGAAGTGGATGTAAGTCAGGGTTGTGGTATTTCGCCGATTTCGTGAATGCTGTTAAATATAGTTACCGGTAATCCATGCAATTGCATCATCGTCAAGAAGTTTCAAACATTCTGTCTGAAGCTTATTGTCCGGACCTGTTGAAGTGACGTATTTACGCTATTTATGTTATGCTAATACTGTCTATTATTATTATTATTGGCAACACTATGTTGTAAACTTATTCTTTTACTTTCTAATAAACGTCAGTTTTCCTGAGTTTCTTATCGATTCACGTTGTTGTTCTATTTAAGGTATGGAACCAGCTTTCTGCAGTTTTTTGCGTAGTTTTCCATTTTAGTCTATGTGGAAACGAAAAGTGGAGGTTTAGAGACATGGCAGTCAACTTTCAAGCCAGTGTACCCAAGTTGAAAGGCCAAGAAAATGATTAAGAATGGGCATTCGGTGTACAGAATCTCCTAATTTTGGATGCTCTTTGGGGTTGCGTTGAAGGCACGGAAAGTGATGCGGACAAGTGTGCAGAGGCGAAGGCCAGAATAGTCTTCACGATATGTCCAGCACTTCTTTCACATATTAGAGACGAGTCAATACCATAGAAGGTATGGGATAAATTAAAAAGTGTTTTCAGACTCAGGTCAAACAAGAAAAATCAATTTGTTAATGTTAAAATCTCTAATATCTACCAAGATGGGAAACAGTGAATCTATAGGTGATTATATGAAAAAGGTTCTTGAAACGCCACAGAGATTGAAATCTACAGGGTTTGCAATAGATGACATTTGGTTAGGCTCCTTATTGCTAGCTGGTTTTCCTGATAAGTGTTCCCCTATGAATATGGATATCGAGCATAGTGGTATAGCCATAACTGCAGATGCCATCAAGAAAAAGTTGCTGGATATGGAGATGGAGTCAGAGACATGGTGTAGCTTTTGGGTGGTGGAGGGGGCAAAGGAAAATATTCTGAGAAAAAAAAATAAAGGTGTGAAATGTTATGCTTGCAAAGACTTTGGACATATCAAGTTGCGGTGATCAAAACTAATAGGTGAGGAGGCTAAAAGTAAGCAGAATAAGAAAAAGCCTCATGCTTTTGGTGCAGTCTTTTCAAGTAGGGAGTTTTTGAAGACAGACTGGTATGTGAGCTCGGGAGCAAGCTTAAATATTTGTGTAAATAACGAATGGATGGAAAATATTTCTACAAATTGTGAGTTAAAGGAAATACAGGCCCTGCGATCTCTTATTGCCAGTAATAAACCACATAATAACTCTTTTCCGTTTTTGTAGATGTCGCTGACAACAACAGAATTGTAAAATACCAGCACATCAAGAACACGTCCGATGTTGATAACATTGACATGAGATTGACATGTCAACATATGACAATATGCCAAAATATTCATTTGATCATAACTAATAATTCATAATGTTTTTCGTTCGCCGGTCTTGCATTTCGTCTTTCTTTGTGTTGTCAAGTGTTTTAAAACACGTTCGCGGACAGTACGGCTAAAGCCGTCATATTCTTCCCCGTTGCCTGGGACATGCCGTCTATAGCAGTCATCCCAATTTTCTTCTATAAACAAATAACGGCTCTAGCCGTCTTTGATCCCATATAGCTATATGTA